CCTGCTGAAACCACTGTGTAGAGAATAATGAAACAGTCCTTGGAACAGGGACTGAAGCCAGATCATACCTTTTCATGCAAGTGCCCTCACTGCTATGTTAGAGAGGGACTCTTTCACTCTGGCTCATCTTGCTATATGTAAGGAAACAGTTCAATAGAAGAGAACAACTCCCCAACTGTCTATAGCCTGGTGGTCATGAGACTCTCCTGGGAAGTTGGAGATGTGAGGTTCCTGTCTACTCAGACAAAGGACGGAACTGACCTACCGTTTTCCACATCTGGGAGGAGGTTCTCTAACCACTCGACAATTGGTGAAGGGGACAGGGGCAGGGGAACGGGAGGCACAACCACCTCCACCTGTGTTCTGGGCAAGGCCTGACTTGGTAGGCACACTCAGGTCATGCCTAATGAATTACATCCTGCGGTGACAGGCAGAGGAATGTTGTCTGTGAATTCTGAAAGGGCTTGGGCACCTTTTTGCTCAGCACCATCAAGATTTACGCAGTTCTGGGCATACTCAGACTCCCATGCCCAGAAGCAAGTATTTAAGTATTAGGATTTGAATGCCCTAGGCTCTTTTCAGTGGGAATGTATTCGCAAAGTCCCACCTAAATGTTTCTGTGCGTGTGAAGTCTGAGGCACTTTACAGCAGTTCTGTGTGTTCCAGTGCTTAAGTGGGGACAGACCTAGACACTAGAAAACACAGTTACTGTTCATGCTTAGTTTATCCATCTTGCCTGAGGCTGTTTGAGGTTCACAAACCAGTTATCCCTGTGCATAGGCACTTTGAAGACCATAATCTATTCAGAGTATTATGACTACATCTAATAGAAGAGGAGTAGCAGGAGGACAAGGAAGACATGATGACTCACTTTCCTTTTGCCCAACAATCTTGTGCAGTGGTTCTCAACTCGGTGCCACAAGAACCTACCAGGGGTGTTACAATGCTGACACTGCTGCTGCAGAGTGAAACTGCCCGGCATGCCTTGCATTTCAGAAGGCACGTTGCGGCTGAACTGAGAAGTGACTGCAGCAGAAAGGCATGCTTGGAGATTGCCCTGTGTGCTTGGTCTTCAGGAGGCACATTGGAGCCAAACTAGGAACAGCTGCAGC